CTTATATGATTTTGCATAACTTACTTAAACAAACGGCCACGTCATGCACTTCGTCCGCCACATCATCATTTCAGTTAAGTTTTTTTACGAACTTCTGTTTGGTGATGGATGGGGTAGCAAAAGTTCAGTGATGAATGGTGTTGTTTTTTAAGTTTAGTGACTTGGTGGAAACTTTATGTAAAGTTCAGTGATGTTTGGGGTAATTAACCCCAAAGATCAGCATTAGGATAAAATTTGAGTCCAAATTTATTTTCCACAAGTAGCATTTATTTGAAAGTGTTTTAGTTCGATATAATGTTTCCAGTTTCTTCCATAGTCCTGTTGTAGTCCTAGTTTTACCAACTTCTCGCTATCACATAAATGTAGAAACAACTTACTCTATGTAATTTCAATTTGATCAATTCTCTTTACAACATAGCATCAAGACCCCAAAGCTCATCATGAGCTTTGGCACATCTTTGTTGTAAAAGTAGAGCTCTCGTTTTCTTACTCTAGAGATTAAATTCTCATTTTCCATTCCAAATTTTAACATAGATCTTGGTACTTTCCATTTTAAAATTGTTCAAAAACTTGAAAAACAAAACCCCAGTTTCTATATCAAAGTTTTTTTAAAAATGATTTTCCAAGCTTTCAAAACAATCCAGTAATTTCATTTGGAAAAGAAAGTTTACATGGTTCATAGAGATTCAATGCGATCAAGAAATGTTGTTTTAGTGAAAAAGATGCAACCAAGGTCACAAAAATAACAAGAAGCAAGAATATTCGCAGTACATGTTATAAAGAATAAAGAATTCACTACAGTGCAATTTGTCAGCCTAAAACTACACATAATCACCAAGATACATAGTAATCTTAAAGATACCGTAGACAATGGTAGATCTAGGACAGTTTCTATCGAAAGGTCTAAGATATATTATCAAATCAAAGAGAAATTGTAGTATAGGGTTAGAAGATGTTCGAAGATCACAGTTACAAAATAGAGAATACCAATATCTATTTTATGCCTCCAATTTGTACCAGGTTTAGCCCTTAATTGTACAGATCTATGAAGATCTAAGGTTTAACCTCCAAGAAAATCCAGTAAGCCAAAATCAAAGAAGTTTTCCTTCGGATCGAATGCTCTAATATCACATGTTTGTATTTTTGTTACCAAATCAAAATAAAATTTCAATAGAAATGAAAAGAACACCGAGATTTTTCGCCTTTAGGTATGGATGTTCAGTTAGAAGGCCCACTCACTGTGTTGAGCATCCATGAAATTGTGGTTTATACTCTAAATCCAGTAGCAGAATCAGATTGCCCATACACAAATGTATAAAATGGGAATGTCCCTCAGATTTCCTTGCATACCATCTTCTCTCGACAAATTACACCAAGTAACTAGGGGTTATTGTATACCAAGAACAACGATTAAACCCTCAACCACTCTATTTACAAATCTCACCAAGAAATCATCAGAAAAAAGAGCTTACAAACGAAGATGAATTGTATAGAGACAGAAAACGACGCCACACAGAAACAACCCAATTAACCCAGCATCAACGGCTATTAGTCATCCACATGTCATCATCTCATCATTTCACTTTAATTGAATTAAAGTCTCATAACCAAAACGCGAGAATGCACAGTGAAGAAGCAGTCGGGTCAAGCTTCTCTTTTTAAGTCATTGGGCCTTAGCTTTGATACCCAAATGGGTACTTACAAAAATACCCTTAAAATTAGGGATATTTTGAAAAATCATATGAAAAGTTTTTAGGAAGTAAAAAATATAGTGTAAAATGAAAAAAGTGACACAATGTTACTTTTTAAGAAAAAAATGTCACTTTTTTACTTTTTTTAAAAAAGTGACACAAACTAAAAAAAGTAACAAAAATAAAAAAAGTGACAAATACCAAAATAGTATCATCCATTTGTGCATTGCTAGTAATCATGTTCTTAAAATAATCAACATGTTTAGACCAATCCACATGCTGATTATGTTAGAAGAATATAACATATTATTTCATTTTTTATCTTTTTAAAAGTGACAAAAACTTAAAAGGTGACAAAAAACTAAAAGTGACAAAATTCAAAAAAGTAACAAATTTTAAAAAAATGACGAATTCAAAAAAGTAGCACAAACACCAATCAAAAACATTCAAATTGTCTTGAGCAAACCTGAACATGAGCAAATATAAAAAGTATTTTGAAAGTAAAAAATATTGTGTAAAAAGTTACACAATGTCACACTTTTCATAAAAAAGAGACAATATGTCACTTTTTAAAGTTAAGTATCACTTTTATTAAAATCCACCATGCCACATTCTGAAAACACAATACATTAGTGGTAAGTTTGATGCCTCTCTGAGTTAGATATCTTTTGTCAAGACTTGTTCAGATCCAACTGCTATTTTTCCCGCATTCCGCAAGTCCACTCCACCTCCGCTGGAAAACATTCGGCAGAATTCATCTTAATCAAAATTTAACTAAAACATTCAGGGATCATTTTGTGATTTTCAAATTTCCACTCCTAAGCTATTTGTACCAAATCGTTTATTTCAACCCATGATCTCAATCTATTTTTCCCTGAATGTGTCACAAAACATTCACAATTTTTTTAAGTAATGCAAAGAACGTGTTTTTAAAGATTAGGCAACTTACACAATTCCTTTCAAGTTGAACATATTCTCTTTCTTGTTGAATAGTAGCATAATCTCTGCTAGTTGGGGAATATAGTGGCCTAATGATAAATAATAAGCATCTTTAAGATTTAATCTCTTCATAAACTTCATTCAATTAATGAATATTGTAAATTTCAGACACCAAAAAACCTACCAACATAGCTTTCACCAGTGATATACAAACTTCTATTTCTGTACTGTGGGAATTTGAGGAACCATTTTTACAAGAATACCAAGTTGTCCCTGGCTGTGAAGTGAAACAAACACAAAAAAATAAATGCCTCAATGAGAAGAATAATCAACATCCCTACGCTCAATACCTAGACTGGAGAAGAATAATCGACATCCCCAAACAAATAAGCTCATCCCTCTGAAAATGGAACCCACAACATGTTTCTCCACAAGTTCAGTCACAGCCTTCATTTTACCAAAATCTTGCTCCGCTTACAATGATAAACCTAGATCTTTTACATATAAGAATTTGAGGAAATTTAGGTATAAAAGTGAAATAAATTTCTCTTTGAAATCCGAATTTGACATGAGCAAAAGGCGACAATAAATTTGTAGTGTTTATAGTACGACTAACCAAATAGATGAAGGGCACCGGCGGTCGATGGTGGAAGGCAGCGAGACGTCGAGATATGAGAGACCTTTACCTTCTTCTTCTGCCGATGGACGGCATCGAGGTGAGAGACTCAGAGACAAGAGTGAGATTGTTGAGAGAAGTAATTAATACGGTAATATAATTTTGATTTAGTTTGAAGGGTATTAATCAAAGATGATATTTTTTTAGGATAGTCAGCCTAATTTTCTCATACGGGTATCAGCACAAAAGTGTTAAGCATATTAGCCCAAGATTTTTTTTCGTTATTTATTATTGATGATTAAAAATGACGTGGAAAATTTAGATTGCCTTAATAAAAATTTATTGAAGTATTTTTTCTGGAAACTTATGAAAGAAAAATAGTGACTTACATTGAGAGAAGTGATTATAAGTGTATTCGATGGATGTTCGAGGTCTTCCTTATGAGAGAACCATTCGTCCCTATTTATAGGCCAAAATACCTTGCCACTTGCCTACCCAACATCGTTTCAGCTATAGTACTGACCTAGAAATGCTTGCTACCACCCGAAATCTTGGCCTCCTGATTGGTTGCTGAAGTTGGCCGTGCAGGTCATCATGATGCCTAAGCCGTAACTATGGCATCATGCAAGGATTACTTGATAACATGTAATAATTACTTGCTTGTGATTGGTCAAAAATAAGGTATGACATCACAACTGCCACATGTCATTTTGGGAGTTTTTGATAGTTAGGTGGAGACAGTTTGTCAATGATGAAGAATTATAACGTTTCTTCCAAATAGAGCGGCCATTGTCTGAGATGTACCTCTTGTTTAATTGTCCGACCTCTCGGTGTATCAATTCTCATCCTCTAGTCCCTGAACGAGATGTGAGATCAAACATCAACATTTATTATTAAAATTAATTTTTATTACTCATTATAGTGTTTGAAAATATTTATAATTTGGTCAAACTTTATTTTTAAACACGCGTCATTGCATTCATAATTTTTATCCACTTTTTAATAACACGTTTTATGAATCCACATTATAATCTAAAAAAATCTATATCAAACTCAATTAACCGTAACACAATTCTCCACGTACAGGGTTAGGGAGTGCAACAAAATTAAACGATTTTAGAATATTGTCAATAATAATAAGTTGAGGACCTATTTACTACAAGGGCTATAAATAGGAACTAATAGTGCGAATGCCTACATATTTTTCCCTCTTCTTCTTCTTCTTCTTAATACCTGTACGAAGGCATAGAAATTTCGCACCCTTCAGTGGAAGCTGAAGAAAGTTGAGCTTAATTTCACAGTCACACTAGACTACTGTTAAGCCTTCATGTGAGAGGTAAAAATAACTTTATTTTCCAAGCTGCCCATATGTGCAATGCGCTCATTCTTGAATTGTGCTTCGATGGGTAAGTTTTAAGATTTGTTTTGAGTCAATTGTTATCTTGTTATCCGGAATTTATATGGGATTAAATTATTTATTGATTTGTTCACTTCTCACAGTACTCTGTATATTTGGGTATTGTTTTACTCAAAAGGGTTTTTTTTTTTTTTTGCGGGACCTTTTCATTTTTTGATTTTTGAAGACTGTTGTGTTTCCGTGATTTAATCGTTTATTTTCTTCTAATTTGTAAATATAGGTTGAATTTTAAGATGTAACTCACCTTCTCATAGACAACTACTGCTTTGCTTGGCTTGGTTAGCGTCGCACTGAAATTTGATTTATAAATTGTACCATATACATTTGTCCTTTAATGATGGAGAGTAAGAAAATCATAGCCATATGCCAATCGGGAGGTGAATTTGTGGTGAACGAAGATGATGAGTCTGTGTCTTACACTGGTGGGGAAGCTTATGCTCTGGACCTCGATCAGCAGACACAATTGAAAGATTTCAAGCACGAACTCTCCGAGACTTTTCAATGCAACCTTAATGGTATGACAATCAAGTATTTTCTTCCTGGAAACAGAAAGACCTTGATTACTATATCCAAAGATAAGGACTTCCAGCGTATGGTGAACTTCTTCAAAGATTCTGACCAAGTTGAGATATATGTAATCTCAGAAGAAGTTGCTGCTGTTCAGATTATGTCCAACATGCCTGCCAGTAGGTAATTGCACTGTTCCTAATATGTTTATTGTTTGCATGACCCAACCTTTTAGACTTTTGATTGTCTGCCAGTAGGTACTTGCACTGTTCTTAACCTACTTTTGTGAATATTATGTGTCAGTGTGGTCTGTGTCATCTCATCCATGCTTAATAGATTGTTGCGATTTAAGGAAGATGAAGCTAATTTATGTTAATGACTTCACTGAATACTGTGCAGTCTCTTTCCCTCGTAAATAGTCTTAACTCACTGCTTTATTGGATACATTTCCATTTATTCTCTGATTTGCTCTGACATGCAAGCTCTAGATATGTGATTTACTATGTCATCAATGCTGGCTTCATATGAAGGAAAATGGAAAAAAAATGTTAAAAATTTAGTTCTTCCTTCCAGCAATGTACTTTTGTTTGGTGCCATGAGACCATGAACAAATTGAGTTTGCAATTGTGATACCAAAAGGGACATAAATTGAATGCTTTGGAAACTTATATCTGCATTATTATGCAGGTCAAGCAGAACAACTTCATCAGAGGCAGTGATTCCTTCTGATGACCCTATGGCTATTATGCAAGATGATGATGCAATTGTTTTGAATGAGCCTATTGAAATTGCACCACTGGACGTGTCTAGTTTTAGCACTGAAGAGAGGCATCGGAGAGCAGCTACCCAATGGGAGAACATCATCACTGGTGTGGACCAAAGATTTAATAGTTTCACCGAATTCCGTGAAGCGCTGCATAAATACTCAATTGCCCATGGATTTGCTTACAAATATAAGAAAAATGACAACCATCGCGTAACTGCCAAGTGCAAAATGGAAGGCTGTCCATGGCGTATATATGCTTCAAGGTTGGCTACCACCCAATTAATAAGTATTAAGAAAATGAATGATACGCATACATGTGAAGGAGCTACCATAAAAGCAGGATATAGGGCAACTAGGGGATGGATAGGAAGTATCATAAAGGAAAAATTGAAAGCATCTCCAAATTACAAGCCAAAGGATATTGCAAGTGAAATCAAGCGTGATTACGGGATTCAATTGAACTATACTCAGGCATGGCGTGCAAAGGAGATTGCGCGGGAGCAGCTTCAGGGTTCTTATAAAGAGGCGTACTCTCAGTTACCATTTTTCTGTGAGAGGATAATGGAGACTAATCCTGGCAGTTTTGCTACACTCAGCACCAATGAGGATTCGAGCTTCCGTCGTCTTTTTATCTCATTTCATGCCTCAATATCTGGTTTTCATCAATGTCGTCCTCTTCTTTTTCTTGATAGCATTCTTCTTTACTCAAAATATCAAGGAACATTATTAGCTGCTACAGCTGCAGACGGGAATGATGATTTCTTTCCTGTAGCCTTTGCTGTTGTAGACGAAGAAACTGATGAGAACTGGCATTGGTTTCTGTCACAACTGAAATCTATTTTTTCAACATCGGAACATATTACTTTTGTTTCAGATTTCCAGAAAGGCTTAACAGAGTCATTGCTTGATATATTTGGCAAAGAGTGCTATCATGGTTATTGTTTACGATATCTTGCTGAAAAACTTAATAAAGATCTGAAAGGACTTTCACACGATGCAAGACGTCTATTGGTTCAAGATTTTTATGCAGCTGCTTATGCACCAAAACTCGATGCTTTCGAGCGCTGTGTTGAAAATATAAAAGCTATCTCAGCTGAAGCTTATGATTGGGTCATTAGAAGCGAACCAGACCACTGGGCTAATGCATTTTTTGGTGGTGCAAGATATAACCATATGACATCCAACTTTGGTCAACAACTCTACTGTTGGGTGTCTGAGGTGGATGAGTTTCCAATAACTCAGATGGTTGATGTATTACGTGGTAAAATTATGGAATTGATCTATAGAAGACGACTTGAATCCAGTGAGTGGGTTACAAGGTTGACCCCATGTATGGAGGAGAAGCTTCAGAACGAGTCATCAAAAGCACATTCACTTCATGTATTACTCTCTCATGGTAGCATATTTGAAGTTCGTAGTGAATCCGTTGTTGACATGGTTGACATTGATAACTGGGATTGTAGTTGCAGAGGATGGCAGCTTACAGGATTGCCTTGCATTCATGCTATTGCTGTTTTTGAATGTATTGGTAGGAGCCCATATGACTATTGCTCCGGATACTTCATGACTGAAAGTTACCGCTTAACTTACTCAGAGTCAATCAACCTAATACCAAATGTGGATAAACCAGAACTGAGGATAGGAATTATAGTAACTCCTCCACCTACTAAACGTCCACCAGGCCGACCAAAGCTGAAATCTGCAGAGTCGATGAACTTCATTAAACGCCAGCTCCAGTGTAGCAAGTGCAAGGGCCTGGGCCACAATAAGAAAACGTGCAAGTAAGTTTCTCTGTAATACCTTTCATGTAGCATCTCTGAGACAGTATTACTTGGGGCTATTCATTTTTTCTACATATTCTTACAGGCTATAGCTGGAAAGAATAATTGTAATTAATGACTGATCTAATTAATATGAACAGCAAGTCATGTGAATGACATTTTTCTGCCCCAGTATTATTGAGTGGCACATTGTTTTTGGAAATTTTACATATTCTAAAGATTCACTTTGCCTTGCCTTAAACGAAAAGGTCTTATCAAGACACGCTGTGTGTTATATTTCAGTAACTGAAGCATTGTTTTCGTTCTTTCTTTTTCTTATTCCTCACCTTTTTGTTGTTTCAACAGCAAGGTGAACATGCTTGAAGAACCAGAGCCCCATACCCCAATTTTGACAGGACTGATCGCTGATAAACCTGAAGGAAGAACTTGAATTTTGGTATTTTCCTTTGTAATGTATCTGGTGATGTTCTTTGCTCAGTAGGACTTTGATTTATATTCCTAGATAGTTCTATTGAAAATGTGAACAGATTAGTTAGACTTTTTAGCAAGAAAATATTTCCCTTAGCGTTTTTTTTTCCCTTATTTAAACCAGTTCATGCTATCAGAGAACGCAAATTTTGAAAATCCTGGCATGGGTTTATGAAATTGTTTGGTCATTCATTATCATGGCAGTACTTATCATGGATATACATGGTGGTGCAATGTGTTGTTCTAGAATCTATATGGCGCCCTACTAATGACTGTAGGGCATGCCCAGGCCGGCATGATCCTAATGATGTAGGACCCGTATGGACATGAAAAGTCCTAGGCCGGTTCTTCAGCCTATGCACATTTTATTGAGAAAATTAGATCAAACCCTTTCTTTTAGTTTCCCTTCTCTTCAGGTTGTACATGTATTTTTTTATATTTTTTTTTCACAAATCAGGTATATATTATAAAAAAATAATTACCTTAATCCATTTATTAATATTTCAATTTAAATTTTCATGAATCTCGATAATTGAAGTAAAATTATTTGAAATTTAATTTTAAAAATTCAAATTCCTCTAATTTCTATTAACCTGATACTTTTTACTATGATGTGGAGAGAGAATGACCATTCTTCTTCTTTAGAATTCCTTTATCATTTCACCTTTTAATATCACACGTGTTGTAATTTTTTTCAACCTACAATAATTCACCTAATTAAGTTTGCATTTATATTGACGTCAAATTTTTCAAAACTCTGACAATGAGGTAAGAGCTGGAGATCATATTTCATGCATCTCTAGTCACATAACACCGGTCAAATTTGAAACGCTGTCAAGAACGAAACATATGTTACAGTGGATCCAGATTCTACATATTTGTTACAGTTTTAGATAGAAAATGAGGTTACAAAGACAAATATATGTTAACCAAAATATTACAGATTAAATAACTTTATTAATTACATTAAAAAAAAATAAAACAGAACAAGTAATTTAAAATTGCAGTAAATAACATAACATCATAGACCCTCACCGTATTTGTTCATCCCACGAACAACGGGCAGGGGCGGATTCAGGATATTAAGTCAACTAGGGCGGTCGCTAATGACCGCAATAATAAGATTGTTTATTAATATTTAATTAAATAATGTTAAAAAAATTTAATC